TGCCAGTCCCCGTAGGTGAGTCTTTTCAATGCGTCCTTCGTGATGCGCACCATACGTTCAGCCATACCGTTGGTGGACGGGTGGAAGGGTGCAGACGTGGCATGATGAATCATGTTAGCCTGTAAGAAAGCTTGGAATTCGGAGGAAGTGAATTGAGGGCCGTTGTCAGACACAATGACATCTGGAAGCCCGTGTGCAGCAAAAATCCCCCTCAGTACCTGAATAGTCTTTGCAGTGGTGGTGGATGAGACAGGTGCAACCTCAAGCCATTTTGAATGGCTGTCAACAAGGACCAAGAAGAACTGGCCCTGAAAGGGCCCAGCGTAGTCAATGTGCACCCTAGACCATGGGGACTGTGTTTCCTCCCATCTATGCACGGGAGCTTGGGGCATCTCTGGGCGAGATCGTTGGCACAGGTGGCATGCATGCACCTTAGCCTCAATATCTTTATCTAAACCAGGCCACCACAAGTGGCTGCGCGCAAGGGCCTTCATATGAACAATGCCAGGATGACCCTCGTGGAGGGATTCTAAGACCCTAGTCCTCATTGAGGTGGGAATGACAACTCTGTTTCCCCAAAGCAGACAACCCTGAGAAAGGGACAGTCATTCCTTTTGGACCAGAAACTCTGAAACTCAGGACTAGGGCAGTGCTCAGGCCAACCCGACAAAACCCAGGAACGGACACGTGAAAGTGTGTGATCTGTACCTGTTTCAGCGGCAACATCCCTGGCACTAAGAGGGAGCTCGGGCAAGGCTTGGATAGATAGAATGTTGACAGCTGGCGCAGGGTCAGCTTCTACTACTGGCAGAGGCAATCTACTGAGGCCATCAGCATGGCCCATTTCTTTCCCAGGCTTGTGGAGTAAAGAAAAATCATATGCAGACAAAAAAATAGACCACCTAAGCATTCTAGGGGAAATGATTTGGGGAGTCTGCTTACGTGTGGTAAACAGTCCCAGCAGAGGCTTATGGTCAGTGAAGACCGTGAAGTGCCTGCCATATAGAAAGTCATGGAATTTTTTAATTCCAGCAACAACAGCCAGAGCCTCCCTGTCTATCTGAGCGTAGTTGCGCTCAGCAGAAGACAATGTTCTGGAGTAATATGCAACAGGAACCTGAGTTCCATCAGACCTGAGGTGGCTCAGGACAGCTCCAACCCCGTAAGGGGACGCATCACAAGCGATGCACACAGGAAGGGACTCGTTGAAATGTGCAAGTACACTGTTAGAAGTGAGCAAAGCCTTGACTTTGTTAAAACAACCCTCATGCGTTTGTGACCACTGCCACACTGCTTGCTTGTCTAGTAGCCTGTGAAGAGGCTCAGCTACACTAGCTTTTTGTGGAAGAAAAGAATTGTAGAAATTCAGGAGGCCCAGGAAGGCCTGAAGTTCGGCCTTGGACTTTGGCCTAGGTGCTTCTAAAATAGCAGTTAGTTTGGATTCAGCAGGGTGAATCCCAGCAGCATCAATTTTGAACCCCAGAAATTCAGTAGAAGGCACCCCAATCTTGCATTTGTCTTTTTTGAGCTTGAGGCCTGATTTCCTGAATCTTAACAGAACAGCCCTTAGCCTTTCAGCTAGAATGTGTGTGGAGTCTCCTGCAATTAAGACATCATCAAAGTAGGGGCAAACCCCCGGTATGCCCCGCAGTGTGTTTTCCATTACGCTTTGGAAAATCCCAGGAGCGACATTCACTCCAAACTGCAGCCTTTTTACCTTAAAGGCTCCCCTGTGGGTCACAATAGTCTGAGCTATAGCAGCATCATCATCAACAGGCAGCTGTTGATACGCTTGAGCTAGGTCAAGCTTTGCAAAAACGCGCCCCCCCTTGAGGGAGGCCAGAATATGACTGACCACAGGAACAGGATAGGCATGTTGCTGCAATGCCTTATTCAGAGTGCATTTGTAGTCAGCACAAATGCGAATGTCCCCATTTGCCTTTAGAGGCGTGACAATGGGGGTCTCCCAAGGACTGGAATCAACAGGTTCTAGGATTCCCTGTTGAATCAGTTTGTCTAACTCAGTGTCAATTTTACTCTTTAAAGCAAAAGGGACCCTTCTTGCTTTAATTCTAATGGGAGTGACAGTGGGGTCTAGCTTTAAGGACACAGGGGGTCCTTTGAATGTGCCCAGCTGGGGGCTGAAAACATCTGCAAATTCTTTGCAGACTTCCTGTAGGTCGAGTGTTTGTAAACTGTTGAGTCCTGTGACGTGTATCCCCAGGGCCTCAAACCAATCGAGTCCTATGAGACTCGTTCGTTCACCCCCTACTACTAATACGTCTAGTGGACCTTCAAAACTCTTGTATTGCACGTTAAGGGTGGCCTCCCCCTTAACACACACTCTTGAATTTTGAAAATCTGTTAACACAATGTCAGAAGGCCTTAACTTGGCCTGAGTTCCACTACCGGAACAAATCTTCCTAAATGTATGCAAGGAGATAATTGAAAAGGCAGACCCTGTGTCTAATTCCATAGATAATGGAACCCCTTGTAGCTTCACCTTGAGTGACAGCTTTTTCTTAATGGGCTTGTGTGTGCCTGTCCTAAGGATGCTTCTTCGCGAAGCGCAAAACCCTACCCTATTCTGGCTGGGGAATCTGGTACCTTTCAGGCGCAGTTCTTCCTGAGGTTGTACCTTTCGTCGGCCCAGACACACAGCTGCAATGTGTCCTTGTTTGCCACATGCCCGGCAGGTAGCGGAGCGGAACTTGCAGTCGGTTCTCCTGTGGCGACCTCCACAGCCGATGCACTTGAGCGGAGCTGAAGAGCTTCCCTTCTGATTTTCTTCCTTCGTGGGGTGGAGACGGTCGACTTCCTCGTCCGGATCCTCCTCGGAGTTTCTTTGGACGTCTTCCTGGTGCACGGATGCAACCTCTGGACTGTTTCTGATCGGCCGCATGTTCTTGACAGCGCCGCCTGCTGCTTCTTCTGCGGTGACTTCCCTTAAGGCATCTTGGTAGGACAATTCTTCTTTAGCGAAAAGTCTCTGTTGTAGATCTCGATGCCTTAACCCGCACACGAATCGGTCCCTCAGTCGTTCTTCGAGGTCTTTGAACTCGCAGTGCTTGGCGGCCTTCCGTAATGCGGCGATGAATTCTTTGGCCGACTCACCGGGCCGTTGATCCCTCTGCTCGAAGGTGTGGCGCCATGCGATGACGGACATCTTGGGGTGGAAGTGCTCCTTCAATAGCTTCTTCAGATCTGCGTAGCTGACAGACTCTACTGGAACAGGTGCTGCAAGGTTTTCTGCGATGTCGAAGGCGTCTTGACCGCAAACACAAAGCAGGGTGGCAGCCTTCAAGCTCTCTTCCCTCACTTGGTTTGCCTTGAAGTAGTTCTCCACCCTGGCTACGTATGACTCCCACCGCTCTGGATGTGAGACGTTGAACTCCGAAAGCCTTCCGATTTTCGCCATCTTCAGGAGACGGGTCTATCAGCCAGCCTACCCCCGAATGCGCACTGGATTGGCGGGTAGCTGCCGAGTCGACGCCGTTCCGCCGCTCAGGACTCACTTGGGTAAGCTTACACTTCTTCCTTTCCAGGCGGTGTAAGGCAATCCCACCCTCGTCGCCAGTGTTGAGTCCTTGGCACAAAGCAGACACGAGAAGCAGTTGGAGTTTTCAGTTTTCTTTATTCTGCGTTCAGCTTACAAGTAGATGGCTTCAGCAGCTCCCAAAACCTCCCAGCTTCTTATAGACATTTCCCGGGTAAATGCGATACTTTTCCCGCGCCAGCACCCCGCATGCGCACGGCGCTGGCGACAGCCTGTCTGGTCCCGGGCAGCTTTGCACCTGCCCGGGACTGCCTGCAAACGCCCGAGCCGTTTGCAAGGCTCGGGACATAACAGACATCTCCATATACTCAAGAGCAGTGGACTTTATTTCAATGAAATCTTTACTTTTTAATTAAAATTACAGTAGTCTTAACGGTTTTTGATTGAAAATAGCTATATTAGCTTCAAAAAGATGTATAGCTCTTTCCTGAGATCCCACACTATGCAATGATACTATGTAAGTTAGGAGTATAGATTTAGCTTACTTGACCAGAATGAGGTTCCAGTCAAAAGGTTTAAAATGAGTCTGGTGGGAATGTGCTAATTGCCAGAAACTGTAATATTTTGCTAGCAGAAACAACAAGAATCAATCCATCTAATCTCTGGGTTCCATCTTTAGTTCCCATACTACCTGATCTACTAGGGTTGACATCACCAGCTGCTAGGCTTTTTATTCTCATAAATTATGAATTCTAGCCAGAAAGCCTAGCCTGGACCTATGTTCACAAATGGTGACCTCAGTCTTGGCATATGGATTATGTCATTCCCGATGAGTCAGAGGACACCAAGAGGCTTTTATAGCTGATGGCCACATTTAGACTTTGAGAGCACATTGTGAGTGCTTTTATAAAATGGCAGGCGTGGGGGCAAGGCCAGTCATAAAACTGCCATTTCATGAAGAAGGAATTTGAATGGGCTTATTCCATGCCAACCCTAGTAAACTACCTTTATTGTGGTCTGTTACCATTGCTTCCCTTTGCCATTTTGAGGGAAGAGAGGAATTGATAATATTTCAAATCAAAGCGTTCGATTTGAGCCATTTTGACTTCCATTTTCTAATAATGTTTGGTGAACCTTTTTTTTTAAAAAAAAAAAAAATCAAGTGAGCCTAATCAAAACTTGAGGCTGGATGGCAAGGATGACTGACCCTGAATGACACAGAGAAGCTAAAAGTTTGCCACCTTGCCTTTGTCTATGGCAATAGATGTGTGGCAATAAAGAATCTATGGTTGGCCTATTCATGCCACTTTGGGAGAGAGCCTATAGTCTATAGTCTCTTCTCTACTAGCTCAATCACACGAGCTATGTGAGGGGTCTTCAAACTTGGCAACTTTAAGACTTGTAGACTTCAACTCCCAGAATTCCTCAGCCAGCCCTGGCTGGCTGAGAAATTCTGGGAGTTGAAGTCCACAAGTCTTAAAATTGCCAAGTTTGAAGACCCCGAGCTATGCTGCACAACTATGCTGAAATCATATGTATATTTCATAAAAACAAATAACATGGTGATGCCTTCAAAAAGAATTTTAATGAAGAAAGTAGTTTCTTCTGGAACATAGGCATTTCTGAATTGATCCCTGGAGGTGGTTCAAAACTTGGAAGAAAATAATTCTTGGAGGCTTGGAGGATATTGTGAATGTGCTCTCCTGCTAGTTTTTCCAAAGATGTCCATTCATATATTAGCATTTAAAAATAACATATAATTATTTATTATAACAATAAATAAATTTTTAGGCAAAAAGTAATTGATGATCACATGAGAATGGCATACTACTCATCTGATAAAATTAGCTTCTAGTCTGATATAGATTATGCCACAATAAATCAGCTAGTCTGTAGGATGTTGTGACCCTTCCTTTTTGTTTTAACAATCCAATGCATCGATTACAATAGAAGCTGTTTCAACTGAAATCCTTTAAGTTCTAATCAACCAAATCAGCTGATGCACAGCCAGCAGCAATATCATGAGCTTGAATAAAATGTAGGGCTATTTTTCAAAGCCACTGCTAATGTATGATTAGCTAAACAATGGATCACTCCAGGCCTCTAAAAAAAAAAAAAGAATCACAGTGAGAAAGAAGGCTCAAACAATAACTAATACCCAAAATGAGTATGTAGTCAATTCAGTAAATAACCATATGTGTCCTAATTATTTATCTGTTAGATATATAACCTGGCTTTAATTTAGGAGCTCAAAATGGCATGGATAGACCTCCCTCCACCAATTTTTAGCCATAATAATTCAGTGCATTGTGGAATTTTCTGAAAAAAAGAGAGGAAAAACTACAACGGCTGCATGCCATTCAGAGAAAAGAAATTCAAGAAATGCAGAGAACCTGCATGATGAGAAGAGCACCTACTCGTTTCTATCTGTTACACCACTGCAAAAGTCACAGTATGTAAATTAGCAATTTAGAATGGCAGGAAAGAATTTTGCAAATGATGAGTTTGGGAGCAAGAACAGCAAGACTGAACTACAGATCTTTCAGGGGTCAACCCAGAATCAGCTTACATGGAAGATAACACTTCCAACACTGGAGGTTTTTAAGAAGAGATTGGACAACCATTTGTTTCTTCTCCAAAGCACCTGAAGGCAGGACAAGGAATAAATGGGTGGAAGATTAAAGAGAGATCCAGCCTAGAAATATAGAGAAATTTCTTTACAGTGAGAATAATTAATCAATGGAACAATCTGCCTCCAGAAGTAGTGGATGCTCCATCACTGGAGGTTTTCAAGAGGAGATTGGGCAACCATTTCTCCTGAATTACATAGAGTCTCCTACTTGAGAAGCGGTTGGACTAGAAGACCTCCAAGGTCCCTTCCATCCCTGCTATTCTATGTTGTATGAGATAAGTAGAACGAAGTGGATCAAGTCAAAATAAATAAAACGAAGCAGAAACTTTCAGCAGTTCTGCCAAGGTTCCTTCATAAGAGATGGGGCTAGCATGATGTCAGCAATATCCTGGAGATAAATGAAAGAAGAGTTTAGTTGACAGGCTTCAAAGAATCCACAGGTTTTCTACTATTCTATTTTTTTTTATCTTGAACACCAATTGCAAATGTCTGTGCTCATGGATGCATGAACACCCATGTGCACATACATATGAAATACATCAATTGAAAAGAAGTTGCACTACAGCATGGAAGATTCCCAAGGACTGTAACCTTAGTAATCATTGCCCAGTAACCCTTATCTCTTTTCTCCAAATCTGGGTCAAGGGCCTTTGCTTGTCAACGGATTGTTTAACTTGCAAATCAGCACACAGATTGGATATTGCATTCAACTCGATAAACAGATTTGAGTCTTTTATTATGTTTCTCTGCAAAGTCACAAAGAAGTTTCAGAGGAATGGTTCAATCTGAGCACAGATTGAAGTGGACATTGATTAAAGAAAAGAGTAAATTCCCCAATCTGATATCCTCCCAGAAGGTTGGATTATATTTTTCTACAAAGGTTTGGGAATAATGCAGGCTTTAGTCCAATCTATCCGAAGGACATCAGACTGGGAAAGATCAATCTGTCTCTACAGTTTGAAAATCTAAAGCCTAATTCTCTGTGTTTACTGACACAACAATGCCAGAACAATTATCTTCATGTTTATGTTGAAGTAAATTCTACCACGGTCAATATGATTTGCTCCTAAAAATAAGTCCATAAGTTATAAATATTTAGAAGTGTTCCATAATCTGCAAATTGCCTCTTGTTTTCTTTTGAAAATGACATAAATAGTAGGTGGAACTGCATATGGATCTCAGTGCTTTAAATTAGACTGTACACCAGGGGTCCCCAACTTTGGCCACTTTATGACTTGTGGACTTCAACTCCCAGAATTGAAGTCCACAAGTCATAAAATGGCCAAGGTTGGGGACCTCTGCTCTACACAGTTAAACAATAAAGAACAGAACCCCAGTTTCTGCCCCAAACAACCTCAGAATACCCTTCCTTTCCAAATGCTGCTAAGTGTAATACCAACTCCTAAAAGTAACCATCTTGTTCTTTTTGATTTCTTAAAACTTCTCAGATTTAAATTCAAGAATATTGATTCAGAACATCTCTACCACTCATACACTTTTTTGGGGGGGAGGGGAAGCAGAAATTTGCATTTAGATATATATGAGTAGGATACATTCAGCCAGCCAGCCAACCAACTCTTCACCAGCATGACTGGCTTTATGAATGAGTGGGTCTTCATTCTAGTCTATTAGGACTGAAGTCTAAGATCATTACAATTAATATGAGAGTTTAATTAATACATTCTCATTTATTTTGTACTTTAGTAAATAAAATACTGTTTAAAACAATTGGTTGCTTGCATAGATGTTCTCCTCACAGATATGAAAGGATTACTATTTCACACACTATTTAAGACAAAGGATGTTTATGGCTGAAAATTCATAAAAATGCTCTCTGTTCTATTACACAAACATTACATGATGTTTAGAGAAAAAAATATTTCTAGAATGCTGTTAGAAACCCCCCCCCAAAAGAGGACAAAGGTCTTTATTAAATGAAAACTTGTTATTCCTATTCTTGAGCAGCTCCCAGATGTTTCAATGGGGCTGATGCCAAAGAACATTCCAGAAGATTGTCTCCAATGTGATCAGACCAAAATGAATGAGATGTGCAATGCACAGGGAATGAAAAGGAAGTTAAACTTTAGCACTGGAACACAATTCCCTTTATCTAATTTGTGCAGCATTTCTCAAAGTAAAACAAACTGACACAAAGTTCAGTTGCATTACACTCAGCATAAATGTGGGGGGAATACAACATGCCAAGATAGCAAAGGTTGTAATGTAATGCACACTTAGATGGGGAGGACATTCCAGTAACTTCAGCTTTTATGTTGAGATATAACAGTTGTACAATGAAGGTGCAAATTAAACACAAATGAAGTCAGATTAACATTTATAGTAATTATTTGGATGAGAGGATGATGGGAATGGATATCAAACTTGCAGATGTTACAAAATTGGTGGGATAGCTAATACTCTAGAACAGAGGTCACCAAGCCTTCTGGGTTGGTGGCCCAATGGGAAAGGGAGGGGCAGACACCTTTATGCCTGCATGCACATATCCCCAAATGTAGCTGCATGCGCGTACATGTGAATGGGGCTGTGAGCATGCGCACTCCCTAAATGGGACCGCTAGCACTGGCACAAGGGTTGCGCCGAGGCCAGCACCGGTGCAAGGGTCATGCCGAGGCTAGTGCCGGTGTGAGGGTCACGCCAAAGCTAGCGCAGGCGTGAGGGTCACGTCAAGCTAGCGCAGATGCAAGGGTCATGCCGAGGCTAGCACCACCATGAAATTCACACCGAGGCTAGCACCGAGACTAGCACAGGTGCGAGGGGGTGAATGCGCATGCGTGCACATGCACTGGCCAGCCACTTACATGGCCTGGTGGCCAAGAGGGCGGAGCTCATAGGTTAGGGACCTCTGCTCTAGAAGACAGAAATAAAAATCAAAATTCTTGCAAAATGGGTTGTGAAGAATAGAAAGAATTTTGAAAGAAATCAAATGCACATGCAGAATGAGGGATATGTGGATTGGCAACAGTACTTGTTAAAAAAAATCTTGGAATTGTAGTTGATTATAAGGTAAATATTGTCAGCAACACTGTAACTGCAAACAAGGCAAATGAAGTTAGGTTATATCACTATAGTACAATAATTGATACATTTTATTCTGCTTTGGTCAAATCCTACCTCAAATACTGCGTCCAGTTCTGGTTGCCAACATATCTTAAGGATTCAAAAGTCTGGAACAGATTCAGAGAAGGACAAAGAGAGGGAAGGAAATTTGAGAAAACTGAAGAGAGTGACAATCAAATGATTAAATCTCTTGAGAGTCAGAGAATTAGGAAATGAAAGGTCATCTGATCATAGTTATATTGATTTTATTATTGTTTTTGTTGTTATTAGTCACATAGTCAGTCAGATGTTTAAACTGGATATGGCGTTCTTAACCACCTATCAAGTCCTTCCCAAGGACCTGGGATAGGCTGTTATTTGATGGTATTAAAGGTATCATCAGGGGATGTAAGCCGTTTCCAAATGAAGCTATTGACTGATAGCAATTTCATCAATGCCAATGTTATTATTAATACTATTATTCTATACATATCATGTTGTAGTTCCATATCCCTATCCAACAAAATGAGTTTCAATTTGGAGAAAAGCAAAGATTTTCATTTAGGCAAGAAAAATCAAAGGTACAAGTACAGATTGGCTAAGATCTGGCTTAAAAACAGTAACCATGAGAGGGACCTTGGAGTCCTAGTGGACGATCACCTGACTATGAACCAGCAGTGTGCAGCAGCAGCAGCCAAAAAAGCTAATACAATCCTGGGTTGTATAAACAGAGGCATAGAATCAAGATCATGCAAGGTATTAGTACCACTTTATAAAACCCTAGTAAGACCACACTTGGAATACTGCAGCCAATTTTGGTCACCATATTATAAAAAAGATTTGAGAGTTTGGAAAAAATTCAGAGAAAAGCACTAAGATGATCAAAGGCCTGGAGACTAAAACATACGAAGAATGGCTGCAGGACTTGGGTTTGGCTAGTCTAAAGAAAAGGAGAAATAGGGAAGACATGATAGCAGTATTCCAGTATTTAAGGGGCTGCCACAAAGAAGAGGGGATCACATTATTCACCAAAGCACCAGAGGGCAGGGCAAGAAACAATGGTTGGAAACTGATCAAAGAGAGAAGCAACCTGGAATTAAGGAGAAACTTCCTGACAGTGAGGACAATTAACCAGTGGAATAGCTTGCCTCCAGAAATCATGGGCACTCCATCACTGGAGATTTTTAAAAAGAGGCCAGACAGTCACTTGTCTGCGATGGTATAGATTCTCCTGCTTCAGCAGGGGGCTGGATTAGAAGGCCTCCAAGGTCCCTTCCAGGTGTATTCTATTCTATTCTATTTTGTCCTGTCCTGTCCTGTCCTATCTATCCTATCCTATCCTATCCTATCCTATCCTATCCTATCCTATCCTATCCTATCCTATCCTATCCTATCCTATCCCATCCCATCCCATCCCATCCCATCCCATCCCATCCCATCCAATCCCATCCTATCCTATTCTGATGTTCTTCAACACTGCTGTTTTGATGCTGATTGTTTAAGCTTTCTGTTGTGGTCCCACTAAATCCAGGATATCAGATCAGGAAAAACAGTACTAGTTCATCTTGTGACAAAGAAGAAGAAAGTTTAATTGCATTACTCTCTGGAAGTTCTCATTCTGTTAGAAAAAGTGGGGCCAATATTACAGGGAAATATTTTAACATTTGAGATTTTGTAAGTATTTCCTTCAAGCATCACAACCTAAGCATTTCCTCGATTTCCCTGATCTTCATGCACTTCTAAAATACATTACATAATCATGATTTAAGCCATGAAATTGCACAACAGATTTAGGGTGACAGCTTGATTGATGGTCACTTTGTCCATAAGACGCCTTCACTATAAGCAGTTGTAAGAAGGTATTACACCACAGAGGACAGGAATTCGGAGCAAAATTTAATTGGAACCACAGTATAAATTTCCCTTACAAGTGTTCTGAAAGTTAGGCTTCAGCTCATTTGGGAAAGATCACAAGAAATTGAAGAACTATAGATAGAAAGGATTTATTGAAGATAACAGAAAACTACACCCCAATTTCATCAACTACAATGATTCAATAATATATCCTACATAACGAAATAATATTCACACCTCTCATGTTTTGTTTTCCTTTCTACCTATGTGATGGATGACTTGGTACCGTCTTCTGGGCTTCCCTTTGTCCTTTGCAGCCATCCAATTTGCTATCATAATCTTTTCTCCTCCATCTTTGTTAAATAGTATCCAGTGAGCAGCCAATTGTTTATATGTCAGCAAGTTTGCTATCGATAAGAACTATTTATAGCATTGTTCAATGCGTAGAACAAATCAATATAGCCATAAGTGCATAATGGATTCTCATAGAAATGACCTTTAAAATAAAATCAGGGTAATTAAAAAGTTGTTATTAACCTGAACATTGCACTTTTTTAAAAAAAACAAACAAACTTTGGAGTATGGTGCATGAAAGCAAAAGGCAGATGCTGATGTTATGGAATCTCTTATAAAAGTCCTGACTTAATAGGGATCAACAATCTAAATAATACTGGTAATCTAATATAAGTTATTTTGCCAAGACTATTTAAAGAATAAATACTAGATAAAAAATAGTAAAGAATAAATACTAATAAATATCTATGGTAAGCTTGTTATACATAATCCAATTATTGAATGGTAAGAAATTCCAGGATTTAGCACACATCCAAGGCAGCTTTCTTTTACAAAGGAATGCTTGGAGATGTTATGCCATTTTGTAATATTTATATCTGTTTACAGGCACAGCAGCTGTGCATCGTGGGGGCCAACAGCCAGGTGTTAAAGCAAATGGCTATCATAGGTGCTCATGAATCAGATTTCTTGAGATAGTAGGGCATCTATGAGAGTTTAAGGCTTAATGAGACTTTTCCATTTGCATGGGTACATGCTCATGTCTTATCAATACTGAGGGGCTCGCCTAAGTTTTCAAAAGTGGAATTCTTCCTTGAGCTACTGCTCCAGAAAAATATTGTGAAAAGAGTTTAAAGTTCTTTTCTCTGCAACCATGGAAGGAAACTGCCCCTTCATCCTATCTTCTGGTTCTTTAGAATTCCTCCCCAATTCCTAAGGTCCCTTCCAACTCTACTATTCTATGTTCTCTGTTGGTATGTTCCCACTATCTCCCAATTGTCCTAGCATGGCTGGCTCAGGAATTCTGAGAGCTGAAGTCCACTGGTTGTAAAGTTGCCTTAGTTGCCCACTCCTGTTCTAGATAGTGTGCTTGCCATTCCCTTGCTCCCTTGCTCAACAACTCTTCTGGAGGAAAAGTACTTTTCCCTTTTTCTTCTTATGCAAAAGCTCCAAGATGGTTGCCCCAAAGGTGCTTTTTCAAGAGGCAACTGGACTTTCTTGTTTTTTAAAAAAGACATTTCACTTCTCATTCAAGAAGCTTCTTCAGCTCTGGATGGTGGGGAATGGAAGGATTTATATTCCTTGCAGACAGCTGGTCATTTGCATTCTTTTAGAGCAGGGGTGTCAAACTGCTGGCCCACGGGCCAGACACGTCATGCGGAAGCTGCGTCCACCCCATTGTTGGCAATGGCAAAACCGTTCCGATATGTTGTGCGACGTCACGTGACATCACGAGTTTGACACGTCTCTTTTAGAGAGTTGTTGAGGCAAATGACCAGCTGTCTGCAAGGAATATAAATCCTTCCATTTCCCTACCATCCAGTCAGAGCTGAAGAAGCTTCCTGGATGAGAAGTAAAATGTCTTCAAAGAAAAACAAGAAAGTCCAATTGCCTCTTGAAAAAGCACTTTGGGACAACCATGACCTGTATGACTGAGAATCTCCATAGACTCCTAGATGGATGCGACCATCTAGCTCAGGGGTCTTCAAACGTGGCTCTTTTATGACTTGTGGACTTCAACTCCCAGAATTGCCTGGCTGAGGAATTCTGGGAGTTGAAATCCACAAGTTATAAAAGGGTCAAGTCTGAAGATCCCTGATCTAGCTGGTTACCATTGTTTTGCTCCTCACCCTTCCTAAGGACTAGCTGGAGGGAACTGAGCACAATGTAGGGGGGAGCGGTGAGAATATTCACATAGTTCTGGAAGAGAGATGAAGCTGCTGACTCTGTGGAAGACCCTGGGGATTAGAAGGATAAACCCTTAACTGTTTCTGGAGGTGGTGGAAAAAGAGTCAAAACCATAGTGAGATTATCTGCAAATTACTGCACTGAATGGTTATATCAGAATAACACAAGTGTTTGCCTATTAGTTTGGAGGTACCAGGGCAAACCTGTCCAGCAGGTTTGCTCAATGTTAAGAAGTTCTTCTGTCCAATTGCTAAACCTGGAGTGTTATTTTGCTTCCCTTCCCACCTCACTGAGGTGTCTTTTTCTTGTGTTGCATTTGTAAACCTGTGTGTGTGTGTGTGTGTGTGTGTGTGTGTGTGTGCGCGTGCCCGCACCTGTATATATCTGTGTAAGTATATGCATATATTTAACAATAATGCAGACAATCTCATAGCTACTCCTTTCCCAACCTCACTTTGCCATCTTGTGAACCTCGTGTTTTAGATGTGTAAATTTTTAACCTTTAGAACATGCACGTTCCCCTCCTTAAACTTTATATTATCCAACCAGATTTGCAAACTAAGCAGCAGCAAAAAATATTTTCCCTAATTCTCCCTGCAGTGAACTTAGCCCGCTATATTCTGGGAAAGTAAATATTGAATTATAACTTGCAAGAACCAGGGTTTATGTCAACCTTATGAAAGCTTTTTTTTTTTTTACCTGATCTATTGTTGCTCCCCGGAGTTCTTTTTTCATTCTCTTCATCATCACTGTCACAGGATATTGGCTGAACATCCAGCTTGTATTCCAATTGATTTACACCACATTCCTGCTTTGTAAAGTTTCTCAGAGCAACAAGACGGTGATGGATGGCTGCATAGAGTGATTCAATGTCCTTTGTGCTGGCCTGTGTGAGACAGAATGTATGGATGAATCCATGAGATGTTGTGTTCCAGAGCATCAATGAAAAGGTGAAGAAGCAACAAGAAAATTTAAAAAATATGTATTAAGAACCATCTAGTAAAAGAGAAAGCAACTGACTCCTGAGTGATTCAGAGACTTTCACGCAGCAAACTTGTAATGCTTTACAAGATGAAGGGGAAGCGTATGTGTATGTTCAATACCATCGTTTTTACAGAGAAATATGCCGTAAAACTGATACATATGCATGTCCATCAGCTGTCCTTGGTACTCTCTCCCACTTTTTTGACAAGTCAAACAAAATATCATGTGCTATTTGCTCCATTTTACTATATTTTTTATTTTTAAAATACACCTGTGGTCCTCAAAATCCAGCCTTTTTTGGATGACTTATGACTGCTCTTTAGAAGGCCAGATCCTGAAGTTGAAACTCAAGTACTTTGGCCACCTAATGAGAAGGAAGGATTCACTGGAGAAGAGCCTAATGCTGGGAAAGATTGAGGGCAATAGAAGAAGGGGACAACAGAGAATGAGGTGGCTGGATGGAGTCACTGAAGCAGTAGGCGTGAGCTTAAATGGACTCTAGAAGATGGTAGAGGACAGGAAGGCCTGCAGGAACATTGTCCAGGGGGTCGCGATGGGTTGGATACGACTTCGCAACAAACAACAAAAAGAGCAGTATTTCTTAAACTTTTTTCTCTCTCTCAAGACTCCTTCCCCCTTTTAAAAATTATGGAGGACCCCAAAAGAGCTTTTGTTTTTATGGGTAACCCTATTAAAAATTAAAACTGATGCATTCGCTGCTACTGCTATTTCTCACAATTGTTTGATGGGATTCTAATATTGTATTACTTTTCAACAGAGGCTGGCAAATAAATTTGATTTTGCAGGCCCCTGAAAGGACCACACTTTATGAACCACTAACTTAGAGCAATACAGTAGACTATCCTTAGTTAGCCAGCTCTTACCCAACTTAGTATTTTAAAGAAAAGGATCTATTATTTATTTATATGTGTTGTATACTAAATACCACTACTCAGATTTTCCACAAAGCAGTTTTATGATATACAAATTGAGCAACGAGCAAAACATCTAAAAATTTCACTGGGATTTTACAAGTATTCTTATTGGTCTGTCTTATTGCTTCTTAAGCAAAGGCATTAGTATCTCCTTGCCAGTATTTCACTGGGGGGGGGGCAGGAATGCTGCAGAAATGAAGTATTGACAAAAATCCAGGAAATATTTTCTGGTTCAAGGAATAGTTAAAAAAAACCCCATGAACATCAAAGTGTGAATCAATTAAAATGGAAAACTTAAACATCTTATCCTTTTCTAAGATCACACAATGTAGCGTCATCATCATCACCACCACTGCCCATCCAATGAATATCTCAGTCTTTGAATTGGGTATTTCCCAACAACTCAGGTTTTATCCAAGAGACCAGGAACCACAGAATTCTTACTTGTATTAGGAAAACTTTGATGGAACCATCCTCCAGGTCTGTTGCCGTGACGCACACACTCTTACGGTTTGCTCTTTCTATCACCATTTGAGTCCACAGTTTGGTGTTAAGAATAAGCCTCATGCTTCCTTGATTTCGCATAACTGCAAGCATGAGAAACAGTATCAAAAAGGTAATCAAGGAAATTAAAACATGTCAGATCTGAAGCAGATTTTTCTTGCAATTTGGAGAATTTCCATTACTCATTCTTATGATGCTGAAGGGCTTCCATTTTTTCCAAAGGGAGAGAAAAAGATTTTTTTGTATGAATCTGGATTTAGCAGCCTCCAAAGTAGTTGCAGAATATATATTTTCCTTATGTACAGTATATACATATATATCTGCATTGACTAGTCACAGCAACATAGCAATAGCACTGAGACTTATTTATAACTCCATAGTGCTTTATAGTACTCTTTGAGTGGTTTACAGTTATTAGTCAAGTCGAAAGGAGGGCAAATGAGTCCTGTTTGGTTGATTCTTTTCTAGCATTGACTTGGCCAGTGATTCTCTATAAACTTAGCAAACCATTTAATTGTAGAGTAAACCTGCAAAACATAATAATCAGTGGTGGGATTCAGCCAGTTTGCACCACTTCAGCAGAACCAGTAGCTAATTTTTTGTTGCCCAGGCCCAGAATGGACTTCTGGAAGCAGCATCCACACACAGAACTGGTTGTTCACATATATGAATCCCACCACTGATAATAATCCAGATCCATGTCAAATAGGTTTAACTATATTGAGAAGGATTGAGAGATGAAAAACTAATAGTAACAGAATTACAGAACAGAATAACAGAGTTGGAAGTGACTTTGGAGGTCTTCTAATCCAATTTATTGCTCAAACAGGAAACCCTATATACCATTTTAAACAAATGGTTGTTCAATCTCTTGCTAAAAACCTCCCTGATACTCAGCTTATGACTTCCAAAAGACTGTTGTTGGATGTGGATGATCTTGGCTTTTTAGTCTTTGTACTCTTCTTCAAAACTATGGTTTCAATCCTTTATAAACAGTAATTAACACTCATTTGATTAATTGTCATGTGATGAAAACCCTACTAAACCTTTTGGTGATATATTTTTGCAGATGAATTGTAGTGCATATTTTTTTAAATAAATGAGTTTATGTGTATATGGGAGACCTCCAGAGAGTATCAAAGTAGGCTGGACTGAGAAGACAAAGCAAATCGTAAAGAAAAGCAGTGATAAACCAATTTGGTCTTGTTGCCAGAAAAAAACTATATAGTTGTGTCCATATGATTCCTAAGAATCAAGAAGACCTTACATTTATATATAGAACTGCAAAATTAATTTTTACCCAGTCTTGACTGAAGCAGTCCATGTTGATTACTGGAGGTATCGTTTAGTCTCAAACAACCACTGCCTCTTTCAGTCCAGCATAACAGGGCTTTATTAAATAAAAAAAGCCTGCAGTTGATCTAAGACAGAAGAAATCATCATCATTATCATTCTTTCTATAACAGCAAATGTTTAAGAACAATGGTCAACTGGCTTCTAGGCTATTTCTATAGTTACTATCAATTTAAAAAGAAAAAGAAAATAACAGCTGAATGATCTAAACTGAATGCTGTATGTTAACTACTTAAACGTTTAAAAAGAAGGGAAGAACAGAATTTCTTATCAGAAATTGAAACAAAATCATCTCCTCTTTTTAGGGGAAGATGGTTATTAGTGAACTTGCAAAATTCTCTTCTCCTACTTGTTCTTACGGCAATACTAGAAAAATCCTGCTGTAGAAGTAATAATAATAATAATAATAATAATAATAATAATAATAATAATAATAATAAAGTTGGAAGGGACCTTGGAGGTCTTCTAGTCCAACCCTCTGCTCAGGCAGGAAACCCTATACCATTTCAGACAAATGGCTGTCCAGTCTCTTCTTAAAAACTTCCAGTGATTTTCATTTAAAAAAAATACATTTCCTTTCTATGAGCATATTTACATAGCAAGCATGAATGATTATCCTAATCCAGTGTGTGAAAAGCAGATTTCACCATGCGGATCCCTTACTGAATGATAAATTATATCCAGATTGAAGTTCATATACAAATCCAGCTAAGGGTTTCTGCCTGTATCCAGCCTCAGCCTTGTAAAAATCAGTGATTCTGTCTTTCTACTGTCAAAAGGTTGAGAGGGCAGCTCCTTTCCTGCTGTCTCAGACAATTGGTCAATATAAAAGTTGCTCTTTGACAAAAGCTTCCAGCCTGGACAGTTCTAACTGCTGCACTTGTAGACAACTGGATTAGTTTTATGATTTAGACAACTACAAAAGGATTTACACGGATAATGAAAATATGTTTCCTAAACATTATCTTGCCTAACATTGAAGAAATTGCTTTTATTTCCCAACAACACACGTACAAGACAGAAACATGTGAAGATATAATTGGTCTTGTGTAATTTAGGACCCTACATGAGATGGAATGGTTTTGATGCTTTTTAGTGTATTTCTATTTTTTTCTGTGGCTAGTTCTGGAATTCAGATGACTAGTAAAATTGATTGTTACAATTAAATAACTTTTGAGGAAGCTATGTTCAAGAAAAACAACAGATGACAGCTACATTGCATACTAACTACTGGTAATCCTCGACTTACACCTATAACTGAGCCCCAAATTTTGGTCATAAGACACTGTGGTTTTTAACTCAAGTCACCATGTGACTGGACTCAATTTTACAACTGTTCTTAAAACAGTCATTAAGCAATTCACTATAGTCATTAAGCAAATCGCATGATCACAAATCTCTACCTAACTGAACCAATGGGCAGGTTTTTTTGCCAGTTTTTGCCAGAAAATAGCAAAAAGGTTGTACAACATGATCATTTGACTGAGGGATGCAGCAATCAATCATAAATTGCCAAATATCTGAAATACAATCATGTCACTATTACTCATTCAGTAACTGGCTCCAATAAAAAAAAATCAGCAGCATGCCTAACTCCCATTAACATATCGTTATAAGAACTGTAAAGCCACTGTGTTAAATCAGTACATCAACAACTGTTCAGAGGGAGATATACCTGCAAAACATTGTGTTCCTCTTCTTCTCCTGTTGTAATTTCTATTTTCTCCAATAAATATCCTTGTGCGGTTTTGCTAGATAGGTAAGCAGCAGCTGATTCTGCTAGCGTTGAACCCTTAGAAAAATGAGGTGCTATTTCATAAGAAAGTAAGGAAAAGAAAATGATGAAATTATGGGAGGAAGGTCTTACAACAGTAATGAATATTATAGATATTAAGTACATTCTCTTCAAATTGACTTTGATTCATAATTAGCTATTATTAAGATGGAATTAGATACAACTGTGGTGATGAAGCTGATGAGATTGAATGAATGAACTATGTTTGTGCACATAGTGTGTATAAAACACATGCACATACATATATACATATACAGTACATGCAAAATTATATATCATATCATGTATCATATCTATATAGTATTTACTGATATTTACTATAGTATATAGTAAATCCTTTCAAACTCATCAGCTCCATCATTACAGCTATCAAAACTTCGAAGTGTAATTTTTTTTCTGCCATTTTGTGGCAAAAAACAAAACAGAAATTTAACATGAGACTTAAAATTGACTTAACTAAAAAATAAAAATAAATATCCAGTTCTGTCCAGATAGTTGATCTCTCAGGAGCCTGCTCTAACTTGCATCATTGCACTATTCCAGATGATTGCTTTCATCCTCTAAAAACAGTTACTTGTCTTTATTTGACTTCCAAAAGGTTGCCTTGGAGAGCTGGAGGACACTAACGTAGGCTATCTAGTCTAACTCACTGTTTAACCCACCTCTGTTTATTTCAGGAAATTCCCAGAAGCTATCAAAGCTATGAGAAATAAGGTCCTCCATCATGTCTGTAAACTTTCTCAGTGCTAATTGCTCTTACCATCTCAAACTTTACCTTAACACTCAACTGCTACAAAGAACCCTCTTAGAGAAACTATTGGTTTCTAAGTCATTATATGGCCATCTCACCTATTCACCAATCATCAGGTGTTTAACCTGATTTCATATCTGACATTGCTTAAAACTTTGGTTTATGTTGGGGCATGGCTACGGATGACATAGGAACAGAGTATGAACTTAATCCTGGGTAAAGACTGGAAAGAAGGTTGTCTGCAGGGTCCAAATGTTAAAACACTGGGCACAACTATGTGACTGAGGTTCTGGCCACCACAATAAAAAAACAGATGCTGAGGGCCTAGGAAGAGTACAGAATAGAGCAACAAAGATGATAAGGAATCTGGAGGCTAAATCCTATGAAGTACAATTAAAGAAACTAGGTAGATTTAGATTAACGAAGAGAAGATTTAGGGGAGACATGATAACAGTTTTCCAATACTATAAGGCAGGGGTGTCAAACTGGCAACCCATGGGCTGGGTGCATCACGCACAGGCCATGCCCTCCCCAGCTTTGCAAAGGCAAAAAATGTCATGATACATCACAATACGTCACGTGATGCGATTGAGTTTTGACACCCATACTATAAGGGCTATCACAGAAAAGAGGATGTTGATTTATTTTCCATTGCATCTGAGGATAGGACAAAAAGGAAACTCATCAAAGGGAGATCCAACTTGGAAATAAGGAGGAATTTCCTATCAGTAAAAACTGTTAAGCAATGGAACAGCTGACCTCCCAGAGTTATGGTGCTCCATTGCTGGAGTTTCAAGAAAAAGTTGGACAACCATTGTCTGAGACCAGAGGTGTCCAACCTTGGCAACTTTAAGACTTGTGGACTGGCTGGGGAATTCTGGGAATTGAAGTCCACAAATCTTAAAGTTGCCAAGGTTGGACAACCCTGTGAGAGGGTATGAGCAAAGGGTTGAACTAGAAGACCCTCCAAGGTCCCTTTAATCTTTATGAGTCTATGAAGTTATATCTACTTTATTTGGTACAGGTTGTGCCTCCAGAACATGATCACACAGTTTCAGTTACTATTTTGATGTAGCCTGTGAACATCTCTGACTGGAAATAAATGACAAAACACACTTTGAGGAAGATGGGTGGTTCAGAAATGTGAAAAAATAGAGTCGAATACATCAGGCTGGGAAGACAAAGTAGTCTGATATGATGTATGACATGCTCCTTTCTGAGCCTGGCTCAGCCAACCCCATTCTGGACTCTTGTAGATATACAGTATGGCCTATAACTCCTATCACCATCTGGGAAAGAGGGAGAGGCATTTTTGCAGGGGATTATGGAACTGTCAACTAATTCTGGTTGGAGAAGGCTCTGTTTTCAGTGCTTAATAAAATAACCATATGCACAATATCACGAAAGAGCAACATCAGCTTTATGCCATTGTTTTCTAAGAAACAGCACCTACTTGCCCACAGGGGTATGGCATGGAAATCTGGGGGACAGAGGGGCTCCTTTTCACTGATATGCTGCCCATCCTTGGACTGCAATTCTGGGGATTTCTCAGGCTTCTAGGAAAATTGGAGAAAGATCTTATTTGAATAAATACAATTAGATCTGGAAAGATAACAAGATATTATGAGCGGGCATTTAAACATATAAAAGGCATTGTAATATACACATAGGCTTAGGCTAAGCTAAGCTAGGGTAAAATAGCATCAGGTACTTTGTGGTTTAGTATGTGGGAGAACTCAGAACTTAAATAATGTGCAGGAGGTCATCATTATTAGGCTATAATATAATTTATTTGTTTTTGGAACAGAATCTTATGTGAATACATGACTGAGGTTTGTTTAATCTGTTCTTAAGGTTCAGTCTGTTGCATGAACTTAGGCAATAAGTGGCAATCCCATGATCTCTCATAGTGAGAGATGGGTGTATTCATATCCTGTCGTTAATAAAACAACTTGATTTTTTTTACAAATATCTTGCTGTATTGTATACATTAAATGGAAATTTTCTTTCAAACATTAAGTTTGATCTAGATTTTATCCACAGTAAATAGATTTTGGTGGTCTTTGTCTCTAAATTTATTATTTATTTTGCTTATTAGAACAAAACATATCTAATAAAAATGTTTGTGCACAAAATAGATAATGCATACTGCTTTAATACAGAGTGAGGTCTAAAACTACTAAAATCTTGTTATCTTCTAAGCCAAGTATCTGGGATAAAAACAAAAGTTGTCATAATTGGCCCAGTTTTGATGGATGTTCTTGACTACATAAACCAAGATCCTAATTAATTTTCCTGATTTATTCAATATTACGGTCTAAAATGCACAGATCAGAAGCAACATGAATTTCTCACTTAATACAGCACAGGATCTTCGTGCCTAATTGGGTAAGGGGAAGGTACATGGTTCTAACACTTACAATATTCCTAGATTCATAAATCCACATTTAATTGGAAGAAACCATTAAGTAACACATTTATCAGCCCTCTGAAAACAACTGACTATTCTCAGTTATTCACATGCTTACATGGTATCTAGAAATGTGCATATCCCATAATGTATTTGTAGGATGTTGAGAAAAAAAACCATTTAAACCATGTTGTATTAGATGAACCTGAATTTGTAATGTGATTACTTTCCAGTTATAAAGTTATCCAATGGATGAAAGGTGTCCCATTTCCTGCAGATCTGCTTGTTGGAAAAGCTAATTGAATTGCTTTGACTTTTCAGTTCTAATGGGGCTACTGACCACAAGGGGGCAATAGGGTGTACTGTAAATAGAAAAAGTTATATGTTCCACCACCCCTTTGTTTTTCTTTAAATTGTAATCTGAAGGCACCTCATTCTGCCTTTTCCCCCACATTCAGTTGTGTAGAATATTTTTTGATTTTCTCGTAGTAGAATATAGTTGGCTAGATGCTAGATCAGTGATGGCGAACCTTTTAGAGACCAAGTGCCCAAACTGCAACCCAAAACCCACTTATTTATTGCAAAGTGCCAGGGCTGCTTCAGCATTGTGGTGGCCTCGGGGGGGGGGCATGGGGTGTGGCCCACTGGATGGGCGTGGCTGGTCACAGCAGACTGGGTGAGTGTGGCCGGGGCCCATCCCTTGCCATTTCTGGGGCATCCCCGGGGGGGCAACATCGCTTGCTTGCTCAGTTCCTGCCCTGTCACTTCCAAACGCCATGTGCTCGCTACTCTGGCAAACTCTGCTGGGGCAACAGCACGCGTGCCCACAGAGAGGGTTCGCCACCACTGTGCCAATTAAAATAAACATTACAAATAAACATTATTACTGTTATTAAAAAAACCCTGCTTCACTAAGAATTGAGGGGCCCTTGGTGCTCTCTGAGCTTTTGGTTATTTTTTCACACACTTTTCATTATCAAAACTGGGAAACATCATCACTGCATTGTGCACTGATATTGTTACCTAGTTTCGGTAAGGAGACGTCTGCGAGAAAACAATCAAGTTCAGAAAGCCTCAAAGACCCCTTGTTTCAATCCTGTGCTATAAATATTATCTTCTATCAGTATCACTAAGGATTACCCAGATGAGATTCTCACACTTAGGGATCCTGCAAGCAGCCATAGAACATGTTGAAGATATGATTTGTTTAATAGCAACAGATGTGCAGGAAATAGGTGAAATATTTAATGAGCTGAGTTGAGCTATTACCTGCTGATTGGTGCAGCTCAAATGATTATCAAAAGCCTGTACAGCAGGGGTCTCGATAACTTGATAAGGTTGGAGGTCCCTGCTGTACAGGACCTAATTCCTAAATCTAAATTGCATTATTGGGTCAAGTCTTGTTTAGATAGCATTTTAGGAAAAAATGACTTTGTATAGCCAGGGAAAGAGGCAAACTCATAACTGATTTTTTAAATTTGATAATATATTGTCACTATGACATAATGACATCTTATAAGACATTATGAGATATATGTCTGAAATGATTGAAGTGAGAAAAATCTCTTTAACTGTTGTTTCCTGATAATCTAGATTCAAATCTAACAATGGGAAATGCAAATAAATATTCCCTGCAAACTTAAATCCATTAATAAATTCATTGCTATTAAAGCCTTCATTAATACTTACCAAAACTCTTTCTATTATATTTTCTCCAAATACAAAGCTAGAATGCTCACTGTTTGAGAAAGTTCTGTCTTTGGGTAACCGGTCACTTGAATAAATAAAAATAAAAAATGTGTGAGAGACAGAGAGAGAGAGAGAGACAGACAGACTTCACCCACTTCTCTCCCAAGCTTGTTTTTTACCCCATTTCAATCTGCACATTCTATTTTGCAACCCTAGGCTGCCATACATATGTATAATGACAGTACTTTATTCTATTCTTTACACTGTAAATCTGTTACTACTATGACCTAATTTTGAAAAGAGCTTTGAAAAGAGCTTTAACTTACTGTGTTGTGCTAGAACTTGACATCTGTAGTGGGTGAGGAGGTTTTTTGGAAGTTCCAATCCATGCATAGGTATCTTTAGACATCTAAAAACAATTCATTAAATCAAATTTGTTTCACTTGCATTTTAAAACATCTGTTTATTCTATCCATCACAGCATTAGCTTCCAGAAGTAAGAGATCTGTAGCATAAGTACACAAATTTGCCTTCTTTATGGAAACTATTTTTCCCAAAAAGAGAAAAAAACAATTTTGTTGGATTTGCCTAACAAATTCAACAAACAAACAAACAAATGTCATCCCAATCTGCTTAAAAATTTGAACCAAGTATTTTCGTATGGCAAATTCCTATCATAATGGCAATATGGAATGTTTCAAAGCTTCGTCTATAGAGATTCTCAATCATCCAGGTCATGGTTGATCCCAAAGTGCTTTTCAAAAGGCAAGTGGACTTTCTTGGTTTTTTCCTTGAAAATATTTTGCTTTTCATGCAAGAAGCTTCTTCAGTTCTTGAATGAGAAGCAAAACATTTTCAAGGAAAAAAAACCAAGAAAGTTCAACTACCTTTTGAAAAGCAACTCGGGGATATTGCAAAGCTTTCCTGCGTGATTGGTTTCTTCATGGCTGCAACAATAAGAACACGTACTCTTGATGGTACATTATATTTTACCTGATTATCTGTTTCATGATTCTCCTCTAAAAGATTTTCAGCAGTTCTCTTTTTTTCTATTCTGTATGTAGTCACTTGTGGTGGCTGCAGTCTGGCAGGCCTTAAAACCTCTTTTTGTCTGTTGCTTGTTGGAAAATCTTGAAAAATAGAGTGGAATTTTAATTCATGCTTTTCTTTCCTGATTCACAATCTTCTTATACTTGGATTTCTTAAAAGTTGCTCTTCCAAGTGATAAATAGAATTTCATGATTGCTATAGTGCCTGGATATCTCTATTATTCTTCCTCAAGAACTATGACAATTAGATTTCCCCTCAAATTTAGCAAATATTTTACAAATCTCTTTTTTCATGAACCATTTTAAAAATCCTTCCTTTTTGAAGGTATGAATATATAGAATAGAAATGATATACCTGCTTAAATCAAGTCTTATGGCACACAACTACATGGATGTTTAAGCACTGAACTTCCATGTATCATACATCAGAATCACCTGCTTGCTACACAGTCTTTAAGGACAGATATCTGAAAAGCTATAATTGGAACAGAAAACCAACAGTTGAAAGCTCCAAGATTCAAATCATACTCAGAACAGTCCACAAGGTTGAAACCTTACATCTCTTTCTTCTGATTGTTTATGACAGATCAAGAGCTGGTTCTTCCTCTGTAGGAAGAGTGACTGACAGAAGCATTCACCATAGAAACAAAATGTTCCTTCTGATAAAAGCAACATCATTGCATCTCAAGCCTTTTGTACATGTGTTGTGCAGGTAGTCCTATGACTGTAGTTGAGTGCACAATGTTGGTCATAACTCGTGATAGTAGTAAACTGGGTCAGCATATGACCATATCTAATTCTATGACCTTTTTTGTGGAGGTTGTAATGGCACAATTGTTAAGAGAAATCCATTGTTGGCTATAAGGCAGATTGTGAGGCAGAGGTAAATCTCAGCTTCTGGCAAAAATGTTGTAAATTACAGTCATGTGACCATGGGGCTCTGCCAACAGCTATAAATGCAGGCCAATTGCCAAGCATCTAAAATGCATGACTGGTGGAGGAGTTTCAAATCTGGGTTGTAAATCCCTTTTTTGGACTACCCTATAACTTTGAACCGTTACTAAATGACTGTCGTAAGTCGAGGAGTAACCTATAAGGTCAAATTCATCCAAAAGAGGTAGACAACACTACTGTCATCATCTTGATGAAAAGAGACAGAGCTGTGTCAGTCACTGATTGATATCTGCCAATTTCCCCCAATCTTTTACCTTTTCTATTTCCTTCTCTACCAGCTTTGACTCACCAAATGGGGATAAGATTGTTATATTTAAATAATTCTCCATACCTTGTTCTGTTGCTTTCACATCAATACATTCTTCTAATAGCCCCGAAGTCATGAACACATTGTTCTTCTTTACTATAAAGCAAACATATATCAAAATGTTCAGTGAAATTTGGATTCTTTTTTTCCTAGTGTTACACTATAACGAGCTTCATCTTTTCAAGACTTTCAATGGTTTTATTTTTTGTTTGTTTTTGGCAAGGATGGTATCCAGTTCACTTAAACTCATCAAAACTCTCTCACAGAGATAATTGATTGAAACGGACCAGCCTGAATGTACAGACTAGCCCTCTTCAAAAAATGTTTTTGGAGCCAGCAAGTTGATGGGGATAACAGCTGACTAGGAAACTGCAGCCAGCCAGAGAGGATTTGTGATACAATAATTTAATTTATTTTAGCAGGAGTCTAGTACTGATATCCCATTTTCTGTCAGAACAATCAAGTGGCACAAGATTGAAACTAATTTGAATGAGCGTAATTTAAAAAATGCTGTCTCTCAGAAAGAGAGGGAGGGAGGGAGGGAGGGAGAGAGAGAGAGAGGGAAAGAAAAGAAAGGGAGGGAGGGAAAGAAAATCAGAGAGAGAAAGGGAAGAAAGAATGTATACATCTCCATATCAATTTTATGGATTCACTTTCTAAGTCAACTTTTAACTTACCTGGCTGAGAAGGTGGAAATGTTGGGATGATGATAAAGGATGATGTTCTTGCTTGTTTCTTGGAACATAGATTTTCTGGAAATGTAAATATTAAGTGATGTTTTTTTTTCCCTAGTAGCATTTTACATTTCATAATCTTAAGAAAGCGATTTATATTTGAATGCTGACATAGTTATAGTGATGCCTATCTTTGCTAACAAATGAGACAGATACTCAGCATTTTGTTATTCACATAATTTCCCCTTACTGTCGCTCTGCCATCATTTATTTCAAGCCACATTTTGAAATGGTTAAAAAAAATGGTTAAAAATAAAAGCCTGGCATTCAGCACTTAAGTCCACATGAGTTCAGGATGTAACATTTCAAACCAAATTTTGGAAAGCTATACTTGTCAATGTAAATTTAAGGTAAACAAATGGTTAAGACAGAAGCCATACCTCTATATGACTCTGACTCAGAGGACTGAAAAGAAAAATATGAAGCTCTTGCACGTTTTCTGGATCCACTGGGAACTAAAGGCAGAAAAACACCAGAGATGATATTCATATCATGAGACTGGACAACAATTTGTCTGAAATGGTATAGGGCCATGGTGGCAAGCCATGAGTGCCACAGGTGGCACGCAGAGCCCTCTCTGTGTGCACGCACACCGTCACCCCAGTCCTAGGCCTTCAGCTGGGTTTTATAAAACCTTTTTGTTTTAGGTCTCTGCCACCGTGTGCAAAAAAAAAAGGTTCAATCAATCAATCAATTTCAACTTCTCACGGAAAAAAAAAGATCTTGCAAAGTTGGAATTGATTGATTGAACTTTTTAGTCCCACCCAGTCTGCCGTTAACACCACAGCCATGCCCACCCAATGGGCCACGCCCATCCAATGGGCCATGCCCACCCGGCACTCAACGATACATAAGTGGGTTTTGGGTTGCAGTTTGGGCACTCAGTCTCTGAAAGGTTCGCCATCACTGGTATAGGGTTTCCTGCCTAAGCAGGGGGTTGGACTAGAAGACCTCAAAGATCCCTTCCAACTCTACTACTACTACTATTACTATTACTATATTATTATTATTATTATTATTATTATTATTATTATTATTATTATTATTATTATTATATCAAATGCCAGCTGATCCCAGTAATATACAGGTAGTCCTTAACTTATAACCATTCATTTAGACACTGTTTGAAATTACAACATTGATGAAAATGATTTACAACCAGTCCTTGTACTTACGACTATGGCAGCATCCCCATGGCCCTGTGATCAAAATTCAGGCACTTGGCAACTGGCATGTATTTACCATGGTTGCAGCACCCATGGATCATGTGATCACCATCTGTGACCTTCCCAAACAGCTACGACAAGGATTGGTAAGAAAGCTGGATTCCTTGAACGACTGCATGATTCACTTAACTGCAGCACTGATTTACTTCACCTCTATGGCAACAAAAAGCTCATAAAATCAAGCATGACTCACTGCCTTGCTTAGCAACAGAAATTTTGGTCCCAAGTGTAGTCGTGAAATATCACTGGGGATACTGTGGCAGTCCTAATTGTGAGGACTGGTTGTAAGTCATTTTTTTCAGTACTGTTGTAGCTTTGAACATCCCTAAATGAATAGTTGTAAGTTGAAGATTACCTGTATTTGGGTTCTGAAGCCCGACTCTGATGTTGTAACCTACCCCTTCTACAAGTTTGCCTAGAAAGATTTCTGAACAAAAATCGTGATTACCGTTTTCAGTCTTGTGCACTGGATCCTCTGCAGGCCTCTGAACAAAAAGAAGGATTGGTTAAACCTTAAATGAAAAGTTGTAGATGTTAAGTGCTTTAAAAAAAAAAAAAAGATAGGGTGGACATTCCGATGTCAGGCTCCTTTTGCCAAGCCTGTCACTAATCTCTTGGCTGAACACAACTAAAAGTTTCCTAGGCAAGAAACTATTTGTTTATGTAAGTCTAATTATTGCAAAAAAGAGTGAGGCCAAAGAAAGGAATTAGTTGGTGGCTGTCAGCATAGAGTTGCAAGTGCCGTTTTTAGTGGCTCAAATCCATAGCTTTCTCTTCCTGCATTTCCATGAATTAATAGTCTTTGCACAACTCTTGGTTGTATTGAAGCCAAGCCTTTGCACAGTGTGGTTGTGGAATGTTTATGTTCTATGTGACTGTCCATATCATTCAAAGTTTTTGAAAGCACACTGGAGATTATCCCAGATTTCCCTGTTCCTTAGATACATGGGCTTCAGGTCCCCTAATTCCTAGTTCGTAAGGTTAGGCTGGAAGTTAAATTCCTACACATCTGGACGGCACCTCCTGCAGAAGAGAATTCCACCATTTTTGGATGAAATCATATCTTCTCCTCCATCACACACACAAAACAAACTTTATTAATCTTATTGCTAATTTACATAATAGTAATTATGAATATATGTTTTCCATTCATACCAGAATTCAGTGAAAACTTCCTTCTGAAGAATGGGATACTGACTTAGTGTGACATGAAGTGGAAGGAACTCAATTCAGACATTACTCTGAATGCAATTAAAGAAGAAAGAGCAATCAAACCTCCTAGTGCCTTCATACTTATGCGGAATAACATCGGGGGGGAAAAAGTCTATGTACATATAAACATGTACCTAAATAGGAGATCACATTAATCCATTTTTCCCAATCACACAACCATAAATAGCTTGCATGTGTGCAGATGATTCTCTAGGATATCAAGTGGTTTACGTCATTTAGTATTTCTTTTTCTAGAGATACTGTTTCTATGCAGACATTCAATTAAACTGGCAATCCCACTTCATCCACCAGGTGGATCAACATATGCTGAGTAAATTATCTTAAACAAATGCCAGAAGGATGGGAGGAGTTTCACGTCTTACCTTGCAAGGTCGTTCCTTCTTGAAGACAAACATGGGCTGTGCAATCACTGAACTGTCTGGAAGTAGAACAGAAAGTCCCAACATGTAATCATTGGCAGACAGAATCCATCTTACTCTGTAGACCTGTTTGTTGACTGCAGGTTTCTAATTTTTTTTTCTTTTCTCTTGAAAAAAGCAATTATTTGATCTTCCAAATCATATTGTTTTCAAATCTACAAGTCACCTTTTCTATATAGCAATAGCAATAGCACTTAGACCAGCAGTTCTCAACCTATGGGTCACGACCCCATTTGGAGTCAATCGACCAATTCACAGGGGTCACCAAGCAAGGCTGTCCGCCATTTTTTCCTCCTTTTCTGACGGGTGCCTTACCTCCCTTGGGCTGGGCCAGCTGGTGGCCCAGCTGATGGTTGGCCTGCTCCGTCTCTGCTGCTTGCCAGCTACGCCTCGGCCGGCGCAGGGGGTGGCACCACACATGCGCGGCCCTTCCGGGCAGGGAACTCCTCGACTTACGACCAGTTGGGTAGTCCTCGACTTACGACTGGTTTGGTCCTCGACTTACGACCGGTTTAGTCCTCGACTTACGACTGGTTGGGGGTCACGACATTTAAAAGGTTGAGAACCACTGACTTAGACTTATATACTGTTTTACAGTGCTTTACAGCTCTCTCTAAGCAGTTTACAGAGTCAACATATTCAGTGGTGGGATTCAAATATGTGAACAACCGGTTCTCTGTGTGGATGCCGCTTCCGGAAGTCCATTCTGGGCCTGGGCAACAAAAAATTAGCTACCATTTCTGCCAAAGTGGTGTGAACCGGCTGAATCCCACCACTGAGCATATTACCTCCAATAATCTGGGGCCTCGTTTTAAGGCCTCGGAAGGATGGAAGGCTGAGTCAACCTCAAGCAGGTGAGGATTGAACCCCTGGCAGCCAGCAGAATTAGCCTGCAATATTGCACTCTAACCGTTGTGCCACCAGTGTAGAATTTTCCAAATAATTCAGATGATGTGTACAAAAATCCATATGTGATTCAGCTACAGGCTTCTAACTTGAGAAAATATGTAAACAGAATTCTGCTATGCTCTTGAGCCTGAGAATATAGTTATTGATACTTTTAAGTTTGCAGGGTTGAGGCATTAAGCGGAGACACACTGTGTAAACAAGCTTCCTTTATTACTCTCTTTTTACAACCAACAACAACCAAAACGGCACGCAGGCCTTTTATAATGTCCCAGACCCGGACAATGTCAATCAATGATTGCAGAGGCTGTTTCCTGTCTTGCACATGCGCACAAGGCTGGAGACAGCCAATCTGGTCCTGGGCAGCTTTGGGTCTGCCTGGTACCCTTTGCAACATTTCTGAGCCTGCTGAATGCTTCAGCAGGCTCAGGACATAACAGGTACTCCTGGCTTCAGGATGCTAGTATGTTCCAGAGACAGACTATGATTAGATACAATCAGTTTTTATTATTACATGTAGTTTCTATCTGTCAGGAAGAATTGCTATCACAGATTAGGCAAAATCTATCCAATTTGTCTAATATTAACAATACATTGTTTGTTTATTTAATTGAGATCCTCCCTTTCCTCCAGAGGTTCATTGTTTTCCCCACTACCATTTTGCCCCCAGACAACCTCACGGACTGAGAGAGGAGTATGCCCCCACTAAGGTTTCATGGATGAGGGTGGACTGATTCAGGTTCTCCTTGGTCTTAGTCCAACAGCCTCAACACTACACCAGTAAAGACCCCCTCTTAGAGTGGAGACTAAAATATTCAGTGAACCATTGACTGCTCATCTTGAAATCAAAGGATTCTTTGACATTTACTGGAACTAATGTTAGTGTGAAAATTCAGTAAAGATGTATATAGATTTTAAAAAGACCATTCTGTTTGCTTGTACAAGGGATTCAATTTATAAGAACATTATTGAATATCCCAAATTATTAATAATTGCATCCCTGAACTGCAGAAATATAAGTAGAATTCTATTCCCTCAGGGAGCTATTGAAAACTGAACTGTATATTTAAATAGATACAGATTAATATAGCTCACAAAGCTATAATTTGAGCTCAGTTTGGATTATCCCTCAAGACTTGAATAATGTGTCTAATATACCTCAAGGAAAACATATGAACATATTAACTGATTCATCACACTTATATTTAAGATATTTATAGAGAACTTGGGCTTAATTGGTATATTTATTAACGCTAGAATATTCTGAAACAGTTCCCAAGTGTAAGACTGGCACTTTACAGGATACCCTTTGTATGTAAGCATATATACAAATACATATCCTCCAAAACTTTAAAAATATCATAATTACATATCCTGTACCAGAGGTCCCCAACCTTTTGGGCACCAGGAACTGGTTCCCTGGAGAGAGGTTTTTCCGTGGATGGAGGGAATGTACTTTTGTGTGCTGCCTGAATCCCGCAGATGGGGCTTTCCTTGTTTGTGCGGCCTGGTTGCTGGCATTCTGTGGCCCGGTACCAGTTCATGGCCCGGGGGTTGGGGACCCCTGTCCTATACTACACAAATATTTCCAATTCTTATCCAAAGGTGACTAAAAATGTGTAGAAATGGCAGAACAATCCTAGGAAAAGAATTAGATAAGGGAGGAAATTGTTGGGCGTCCTTGTATCAGTCACAAGTATGACAATTTTCTTGATGATTATGGATGAAAGATAGCATTTTCTGGAACCCTTCCCCCAATGTTGCACCTCGAAGGACTTTTAGAATCAGAAACTGCATGTTTTACAATTCTGAACTCAGGACAGGATCTAATAGAGCACCTCTGAAAAATAAAAATCCAATTCTATTTCAAGACCTCTAGTGAAGTAGAACCAGTCCTGCCATATTGGAAGCCTGTTCCCTGGTTCGTATTATCAGAGAATTCTTCCTGAAGTGCAATTTGAACTTTCTTCCTTGTAATTTTAATCCACTGGTTCTAATCCTGCTCTCTAGGGCAACAGAGATTAAATACATTCCTCCTTTTTAGGAACAGCCTTTTAGATGTTTATATAACAGAATAACAGAATATTGGAGGTGGAAGGGACCTTGGAGGTCTCCTAGTCCAACCCCCTGCTCAATCAGAAGACCTCATGCCAGTCCAGACCAGTGGCTGTCCAGTCTCTTCTTAAAAGCCTCCAGTGTTGGAGCATTCACAACTTCTGAAGGCAAGCTGTTCCACTGGTTATTTTTTCTACTGTTAGTAAATTTCTTCTTAGTTCTAAGTTGCTTCTCTCCTTGATTAATTTCCATCCATTGTTTCTTGTCTTGCCTTCTGGTGCTTTGGCGAATAGGTTGAAGATTGGTTAGATATCTCTGTACAGTTACATTTTTGCACAGGACTTCCAGGACCCTTCCCCACCTTAATAAACCTCATCTTAATGTGCTACACGGTCCCTTTTGAACTAGTTTGTAAATGTAGTTACAAGGTTTAAAAATTAGCAGTAGGATTTAATATACTTATTCTATTAGTATAATTTTAATACCAGGTCATTATGTTTTGGCATAGTGTGGAAGATGACTAGAGTTGAGTAAGCCACGTGCTGGTTTTTGTACAGGTCTAAACAGCGATGGGATAATGTAGGGTAGTGATTATGATACTGGACTGGAATTAGAATAACGTAGATTCAAATCTTCACTCAGCCAGAACATCTACTTGGATGACCTGATGCTTATTATATCTCAGTTTAACCTCCCTTGCAGAACTGTTGTAGTAGGAATACAAGTGGAAAAGAAGAATGACCTTGAGCTTCTGAAAAAAAAAGCAGGCTAGGAGGAGGAAGGAGACAGGAGAAAAGATTTTGAAAAACAATACCACAGATATTGATGAATTATTGTGTACCAAACTTCAAGGCCACTGAAAGTTGGCAAGAGTGAAGCATTTTTCTGCACCAAAATTAGAAGCATTTTTTTTAACAGCTAACGCTCTGAGTTGGGAGGAACTGAGGATATATCTGTGATTGGCTGATTTCCAGAATGCAATGTACATGAGGGGACATCACTGTGTTATATTAAAGAACAACAGACTGATTCCTTTGCCAAGGTGGTTAGGAATACTGGGAGTTGTTCAATAAATCTGTACCAATCCATTGATTAAATGGGTTTATATTGGCAGTAGCTCACTAGTCTAATTGCCTAATCAAGTGATGCTCAAATTTTTCACTACTACAGCTCCCTAAAATAATAAATAAAACAAATTATTTTGTTGTCATTAAGGTTGGCCATGTAATAAACATGCCCCTTTTAATAAATAAATGCATGTTAATCTCCGTATCAGAGAAATCATTAAATTTTGCTCTATAGTTTGTGCATATAAAATCAGAATGTTAGAGGGGGCTCCCACATTTCCTATGCAAATCTGATTGGGTTTAAAAAAAATGTGACCTCCCAAAGTATTTGCAACTCCTCCAAATTGTTTGCAACTTCCCACAATTTGAGAACCTCTGGCCTGATACACCATTAAAGGTGTATGTCAATGCTGCTAACATCGGATGTTCTTGCTTTGACAACAGATAGAAATTCAGACATATTCCTCTTTTGCTTTTAGAGTTACTTGATGCTGGGAGGGGGAATGTGGATGAGAGTCCAGATAGTCATAACAATAATAACTCAGCCATGGGAACCCAAGGTCATTGGGCCCAGAGCTGATAGAGTTTTGGCGGGCTGGAGAGCTGGGAAGAAAGCCCGTGCTTCAAGCTAATTGGGGAATGTCATTTATGACAGTTTATTGGAGGAGGGAATTGTGCTTTGCTACTTTGTACCCAGGGGAGGGGAATTTAATTTTTGGTTTCAACTATGTAGTGCCGATACTTTGCTTCTCGAATAAAAGATTCTTTAAGGTAAACAATGCCTCAAAGTTCTTTTGAAAAGTTTCATCTATCGGAACCATGACAGTGTATCTATATTTCCATGTTACTTATGACTTTGACTCATTTAGACATGGATGGCCAGAATTCCATCCATCTTTTATTAAATGGGAAGGCCCGTGGAAAAAAAAAACCATAAGAAAATCAACTTCATCAGAGAAATGTGCTTAACA